GAGCCGACAAACAGCTGATCAGCTGTTTGTCGGCTCAGCACAGCAGCCATGTAAATGTAAATGAAGCCGCGATCATTTAAAGCACGGCTTCATTTGCCTTTGCCTATGTGTCTAATCTACATGCCTCTGACGACAGAGGCATGTAGTCTAGACACACCCTAAGGATGCTCAGTTGCTTTGGAAAAGGTAAAGGGCTCACTGTCTCCCACAACTTCCCATATGGTTTGCATCTGAGGCTGGGTTGCAGAGTCCCCTTACATGACCAGGAAGATACTAGCAGAAGTCACCTTGCTCACTGAGGGTATGTCTACAGTGCAGGGTAAAGTCGAATTAAGATACACAACTTTAGCTATGTCAATTGTGTAGCTGAAGTCAAAATAGCTTAATTTGGCTTTTGGTGCTGTCTACACAGCCAGAAGTCAAAGGAAGAACACACTTCCTTTGATTTTCCTTACTCCTCATAAAATGAGGGTTACAGGAGTCAGACTAAGAAGTCCTCCAGTTTGACATTATTTTGAAATAATGGCTTGCTGTGTAGGTGCTCACTTTGTTATTTCAAAATAACATCAGTTATGCCAAAATAATGCTGCTGTGTAGATGTACTCTGAGTAACAGTGTTCTAGGGAGACAGGGAGATGGCTGGACCGTGTCTAGAGAAAAATGGCCTAGCCTGCTGGAAGAATGGGAGATTAGCAGAGGTTGGTAAGGAGGAGCCTGAGCCCAACTAAATTTAGGAAGAAATTGAGGGGTAAGAATTGAAGACTGTGAAAGTAAAGGCTTGATGGATTGTTTGGGGAGGGTGAAGAAAAGTAGGAAGTACTGCAGTGGGGTATCTTCTTTGAAAGAGGCCATTCATAAATTATTTCACTCTCCGAGGGAGAAGACATATTACAGATGTGATTTATCAGGATGAGAAAAGAGCAGAGGAGAAGCGTAAGAGGTAAGGGACAGATGGAGAAAGTCAACTGTGAATATACATAACTTTCTGCACATATTAGTTTTATGTATATCGGTTTACACTTTTTGAGGCGCCAATGTGGGTAGGTTTGTGGTGGAATTTAGCAGTTCTACCAATTTATACAAATGGTATAAAGGCATCATGCAAAATAGCAGTCTCCTGAGTTATGTCCTGACTAATTTTCACTGTTCCTGGTGACAGGCAGGTAGGATTGCTAATTTTGGTTTGATGTATTCCTGAAGGCTTCATCATGAGACATAAATTATAATTAAAGATTAATCTGTAATTCCTGGAGATTCTGGAGTTTGGCACCTCTGCTGGGCTCTGCTGATTCCCACTGCATATCTTCCTTGAAAGCTGAAGAAGAGGCAGCTATGCAGAATATTTTGAGAAATCTCAGTGAGTGGGAGGAAGGAACACATCAAGCTGTGAGAACTGTATGGGTAGTGAGATATTTGTTATTAAATATGTGGCGATGTGAGAGCTCCAAGTAATCACACTTGGGTGCTGCCTTCACGGGAGAGAAAAAGTGAGCTTGTGTGAAATTACAGACTGGCTTGCCTTCACTTGGCCTTCATCTTGCCTTAATTAACTCGGCTCAACACATCTTCTTTGTCCCTGGGTGGGGAGAAGATTGTGGGGGAGTTGATAGCAGAGGCAGCAAGGGAGTTAACTATGAATGTGTTTAGAGATATATATGCCTATAACTAACCTCCAAATGTCTTGTAATTATAGGAGCTTTTTTAATATACTGTACCTCAGGCTAGTAATAGTATGGGCTCAATAGTAAATGTATAAAAGGTGCTTTATAGATATCTTGAAAGGCTGCATGCTCTGTCTCCTGCCTCTCCAAAAGGAAATCAGACTCCAATGGAGCGTGGAATGAGACCTTGCTGGCGTACAGACTTTCCTACATGCGACTGCTGTAGGCTTCCTTGCACTGAATCTCTTCCTGTGCTTTTAATTCGGTGACAGGTTGGAGGTATGCAGAGTGGGGCGCGGCTGTATCGGAGGACATAGCACTGGTGTATGCTTGCAGGATGGGCTGCACTTGCATGAGGGAAAGCGGGTACAGCGACCGTAGCAGAGCTAGCGCTGTGGTGCTGGAGACCGGTGCGAGCGGAATCCCGCGTGTATAACTCGCGTAGCCCTACAAGACACCACCCCGAGCCATACAATGCGAGCAGCGCACGTCGACTCACTAGTGCGACTTCCCGAAAAAGGAGCACGCGCACAGAGCGTGTGGAAGCTGGTGAGTAACACATGCGCACCGCAGAGAAGGGAAATCAATCCGAACGAGTAGCGCGAAGCATGCGCATGCGGGCCCCGTCTGGCCCTGCGCTAAGGGGAGTTCAATTAGTTATTTACGGTAACAAAAGTCGAATGAATTTAGACCCTCTGCTGTACCCGTAGTCTGGACTGTACCAAACCGGCCGGGGGAGAGGTGCATCGCGCCCAGCCCTGGCTGTTCGCCTAGTGCCACTGGACAAGCGCCAGCCGTGGCCGGTTGTGCGATTTGAAGCGCACGCAGCGGGGGCGGGTGAGTATCAGGCAGGCCCGGAGCGCGCTGGGGCCGGAGTGAGGGAGGTGCCCCTCCCCCCGCGGCCCCCAGCGCAGTGGCGG